GTTTTCTACGTAAAAGAGTGTGTCAGAGAATAGAGATAACCTTACTTCTTCCTTTCCAATTTAAATGCATTTTCTTTTTCTTGCCTAAGTGGTCTGGGTAGACCTTCCAATACTATGTTGAACAGAAATGGTGAATGCAGACTTCCTTCTCTTGTTGCTGATCTTAAGGGAAAAATTTTCAGTCTTTCAACATTGTATCATGTTATCTATGGGTTTTTCATATATGGCTTTATCATGTTGAGGAGGTTTCTTCTATTATTAATTTGTTGACTGTTTTTTTTATCATGAGTGGGTGTTGGATTTTGTTAAATGCAGTGTGTTACATTAATTGATGTGTGCTGAACTATCCTTGAACATGCTGAATCATCCAGGAATACATCCCACTTGGTCATGGTGTATAATCCTTTTCATATGTTGTTGATTTAATATGTTATAGATATATCCTTATGGTTACCATGGGTATTACATATAACATCCTAAATGTTATAACAATCTAACTTGAATTAATACCAACTTATTTACAGCCACATAACAAAATTCTTCTCCTATACAGTTCTGTTCTCCCTTTGTTATTAATGTCAAAATGTGGCATCTGGGGGCTTCCCTGGTGGCGCAGTTGTTGGGAGTCTGCCTGCCAATGCAGGGGACATGGGCTCGCACCCTGGTCTGGGAAGATCCCACATGCCACGGAGCAATTGGGTCCGTGAGCCACAATTACTGAGCCTGCGCATCTGGAGCCTGTGCTCCGCAACAAGAGAGGCCGCGATAGTGAGAAGCCCGTGCCCTGCGATGAAGAGTGGACCCCGATTGCCACAACTAGAGAAAGCCCTCGCACAGAAACAAAGACCCAACACAGCCATAAATTAATTAATTAATTTTAAAAAATGTTGCATCTGTATATAATGTGTGCCCAATAACATAGATTTGTAAATATTTTTATCTATTTGTCTTGTAAATTCTGTAGAAAATAAAAAGTGGAGTTATAAACCAAAATTATGAAAATATTTGCCCATGTATTTTACTCTACTGGAGTAGAGTTTCTTCATATACTGTATATCTTCAACCTGAAGGACTCCCTTTAGCATTTATCATAGGCCATCTGGCCTCTAAGGTTTTGGTGAGAAATTGAGTGACAGTCTTATTCAGGATCTGATGTATTCAATGAGTCACTTTTCTCTTGTTGCTTTCAAGTGTCTCTGTCTTTGGCTTTTGAAAATTTGACTACATTATGTCTCAGTCTGGGTCTCTTTGGGTTTATCCTACCTGGGGATTGTTAAGCTTCTTGTAAATTCATGTCCTTTTAAAAAAATATTTATTTATTTATTTATTTATGGCTGCATTGGGTCTTCGTTGCTGTGCGTGGGCTTTCTCTGGTTGTGGCAAGTGGGGGCTACTCTTCATTGTGGTATGCGGGCTTCTCATTGCAGTGGCTTCTCTTGTTGTGGAGCATGGGCTCTTGGCACATGGGCTTCAGTAGCTGTGGCTTGTGGGCTCTAGAGCGCAGGCTCAGTAGTTGTGGCACATGGGCTTATTTGCTCTGAGGCATGTGGGATCTTCCTGGACCATGGCTTGAACCCATGTCCCCTTCATTGGCAGGTGGATTCTTAACCACTATGCCACCAGGGAAGCCCCAGATTCATATCTTTTATCAAATTTTTAAAGTCTGGGGCCACTATTCATTCAAATAACCTCTCTACCCCTTCTCTATCTCTTCTGTTTCTGGGACTCCGTAATGCATATGTGGTTCTGCTGCAAGTCCCTTATGCACTTTTCTTCACTTGGGTTTCTATTTGCCTCTTACACTGAATATAAAATAATATATTATTTAATATATTCAAGTTTGCTGATTTTTTTTTTTGTCTAATCATGTCCACTGTTGAACCCCTCTAGTAAATTTTTCACATCAGTTATTGTGTATTGTAGCTCCAGAATTTGTTTGGTTCCATTTTATAATTTCTGATTGTTGATATTCTCATTTTATTCATGTGATTTTCCTGGTTTCCTTTAGTTATTTGTCCATATTGTCACTTAGCTCTTTGACCATATTTAAGACAATTGTTTAAAAATCTTCGTCTAGTAAGTCCATGACTGGGCTTCCTCAAGGACAGTTCCTGTCAATTAACTTTGTTCCTTTTCATGAGTTATGTTTCCTGTTTCTTCATGTGCTTTATGTTTTGTATTGTAAATTGGACACTATTAAAAAGTGTTAATTCTGGAAATCAGATTTTCCCCCTTCCCCAGTTTCAATGTTTTTGATTGTTAAAGGCTGTGGTAATCTGATACTTTTTCTAATTATTTTTGCATAGACTGTTTCTTACATGCATGATAACTTAAAAGTCATTTTCTGTTTTTTAAAAATATTTATTTATTTATTTGCCTGTGCTGAGTCTTTGTTGTGGCATGTGGGATCTTTAGTTGTGGCATGTGGAATCATTTTTTTTAAGTTGCGGCATGCGGACTCTTAGAGTCTTAACCACTAGACCACCAGGCAAATCCCTAAAAGCCTTTTTCTTTAGTTCATTTTGTGTATATCTGCTTTTAACTGTTTTGACAGAGATTTTCTTGAATGCCAGAAGCTGAAACAAACAACACACGAACACACACACACAAGAGAACAGCCACCTTCCCTAGTCTTTGCAGGTTGGTTCTGTGCTGGGGCATTCCTTCACCATTTAGCTAGAATTGCTCTGAGCCTAGGTATCACTCCAAGGTGAAATCTTGACTTCTCAAGATTAAGTAAGACTTCTTGGCATGCTTCTTGTGTGGACATGTATATATCTTTTTTTTTTTTTTTTTTTGCTGCACCATGTGGCATATGGGGACATAGTTCCCTGAACAGGGAGCAAACCCGCACCCCCTGCAGTGGAAGCGGAGTCTTAACCACTGGATCACCAGGGAAGTCCCTGTGTGGACATGTGTATGTCTTAGTAAAGTCCCCCCTATATACATCTGCTTTTGAATGTCTTAATTTCCGAGAGTTTTACCCTAGCTTTTCCTCCAGGCCATAGTTTGTGTCCCCACCAATATCTCTTGCCCCAGGCATTCCACCTTGAAGGTTTTATGAGCAGTGCATGCTCATTTCCCCACCTGCATTCTGAGTAATGTGAAACAGTAATGTGCCTTGCATCAGTCCTTCAAGTATCCTCAAGATAGGTTAGAACAGAGATACACAATAATTTGCAAACATGGTCTGCTCTGCTCCCTCAAGTTTGAGGAGAAACTGGGTTGCCACCAGGTCAAGACCGAGATCACTGTTGTGCTGGGGAGGGGTGGGGAAAGAGTAAACATGCCACAAAACATTACTAACATTTTGAAGATGGCTTTTCTTAATTGAGCATTTTCTTGTTTCAAAAAACCTTTGACCGTTTCTCAGAGGTACTACAAAGTTGGTTCAGAAAGCTTCTGGGTTTTTGTTGTTGTTGTTTTTCAGTTTCTATGGGAAAACAATAGCTTGGAGCTTCCTAGTTCAACATTTTGGTAACGTCATTTGCAGGAACTGTGTTTTTCACATATTTCCCATTCCAACAATTTTTATTTTAAAATGAAGAAATTGGGACTTAGGAAGTTTTACAAATTGCCAAAAATTACAGAGCTTTTTAATGGAGTTGGGATTATACTCTTCTAATGAGAAGTGGCTTTGTCTTATTTACCATATATCGGGAGCTCATAGCATCTGACAAGATGTTTACCTCATATTTAACTGGCTGGGGTAGAATTAAGCAGGAAGGGGACTGTCTTAGCTTGAGCTACTATAACAAAATACCATAGACTGAGTGGCTTAAACAACAGAGATTTATTTCTCACAGTTCTAGAGGCTAAGAAGTCCCAATAGCAAAGTGCTGGCAGATTTGGTGAAGGTCCATTTCCTGGGTTGTAGACAGCTGCTGTCTCACTGTGTGCTTGGTGCATACACGAGGCATTCCTTATAAGGGCAATACTCCCATCATAAGTGTGCCACCTAATCTAAAACTAATTAATCTCCCTAAGGCCCCATCTCCAAATACCATCACATTGCAGATTAGGGCTTCCACACATGAATTCTGGGCTGGGGTGGAGGGGGAATTTCCTTATTCACCAAAAAGAAACTTTAATATAATGGTATTAAGCAGTGATGGGCTTCAAATTACTTTGTTCAGAATCCTCATGCTGAAGGACGTGAATGACAATTTGAACAAATGCAAAGGCATACTATGTTTTGGGACAGAAAGACAGTATCATAAATGTCATTTCTCCCAAAGTAAGTGTATAAATTTAGTGTAATTCCAATTAGAATATCAAAGCGTTTTTGTAATTTGAGAAAACTATCTTAATTTATATAGAAAGAAAATTAACTTAGATTAGCCAATAAAACTGAAAAACAGTGAGTGGGGGACTTGCTGTAATACTCAGTATCAAAATACAATAAGGCTAATATGTTATCAATTAATATGGTGTTAGTATAGGAATAGAAAAACAGATTAATGAAGCAAGAGAATATAGAAATAGGTCTTGGTATAAATCAAAATATAAGGCAGTTTAAGTTGAATGAAAAAAAGATCATATGGTTAAAGGATTACATAGCAAAGTTTTAGTTGAGTAGGAAAAGTGTGGTTATCAGTAAAGGATTAAGAACAGGTCTTTCCCACTGATTCATCTCTGGAAAAATGACTTTAGATTTGCCTTTCTACCAGTTTCCTTGAAGAAAACACCACTGTAAATCTCTCATCTGTAGCCTGTATCTGGATGGGGCGAACTGTTAACTGGCATGTAGACATTGACAGCCTATATAAGTAAGGCACCACAAGTCCTGGGAAACCAAGGCAGTGGCTTCTCTGTGCTTAAATGATTATCATTGTTACAAGTGAGTGTGCCCCATGTGATGGTGGCACACCGTGCAGATGCCCTGGTTGATTATTATAAAATATGCTGGATGAGAATGTTAATGTTTCCCAGTGCTGAGGTGAACCACACCCATTTTGATCTTTTCTCCTCTGTGCAGTGCTGAAGCAGTGGAAGCTGTGCTTGCTTGGATAGTTGCAGGACTGTCGATGAACATGCTGTGAAGACATTTTTTTGTCAGGACAAATCTAATAATAAACTTAATGTCAGGTTAAAGCTTATTCTGTTCTCCCTCTCTCTTTTTGATTGCTAGTTCAAATCTGTGATTGCTTCTGGTGGACATGCAGGTGTCAGAGCTGTGTGACTTGCTGATAAACTGGCTGCTGGATTATTTTAACAAATTGTGCTTGTATAACTGGCAACCCATCTGGAAGAAAAGAAAATGAACCCTCATATATGACATTAAAAATTCAATTCTAGATGGATTAAATATTAATATATTGCAAAAAGGAAATAGACAATTTATAAGAAAACCTAAGAAATAACATATATAATCTAGAGATTAAAATATCTCTATAACCAATCCATAAACTTCCTAATGTCTAATACATGTAGAAGTCTTCAAAACTGACAAAAAGATAAATAATCCTATAGGAAAATAGGCTAATATGAAAATTTACAAAGAAGCAAATCTAGGAAAAGATGAAGTTTATACTCATCAAACATGAATTTTAGTATAATACCACCTATTGCATGGCTGGAGGAAACTTGTCTTTTTGAAAATAACTGATTGCATCTTAAAATTTTAAAATAACACATATCCTTTGATCTAGCAGTCTGTTGCCTATAAACTATCCCCCAGAAATAAAAATAAAAGGTAAGGGCCAATATAAGGGTGTTTACTATAGTGTTGTTTGTGATGGCAAATAACTAGCAACAAGTTGAATTAGTAGGGGGGATGGCTGAATAAATTTATAGCACACAATATCACTGAATACTGTGCAGCAACTGCTTATCTTACTCTATCTGACCATTATAATCATTATTGTTGCTAGGCCTTGGCACTGACCAGCTATAGGCACCAAAAGGTAATCCTCCTTATTTGGTCTGGATTAGAGTTCCTAGTTGCTCTGGTGATTTCAAAGCTGCACCAGCACAAAGGGATAACACTTAAGGAATATGAGAGAATGCTTAATGAGAAATGGAAGAAAAGAGAGGATAATTTAGATTCACATAGATATACATGTATCTTATTTGGATACATTACCTCACAAAGTCAACCTATGGCATTTATAATCTTATCTCAAGACCAACCTTCAAATATGCTAATAATAAGCCATGCAGTGCTATAGTTATAGTAGCATAGTATTATTCTGGGTTTAAAAGAAATTGATATATTTGAAAGCAGCCTAAGTTTTGTGTTACATACTCATTTTTTATCACTATTCAAAAAGAGCACTAAATGCTTTCTATATGTCAAGTTATTGTGGAAAGGAATCAAAAATCCTCATAAAGATTTGCTTTTAATAAAAGAATTCTGTTTAGGTCTGAGATCTCCCTTTTCAGTGCCATTTTCCTGAAGGAAACAAACAAACTAGAGGTGGGGGAAATTGATTGACTGTGGCAGGTTAGAGAAAAAGAATAGTCTGAGTTTAAAACTCAAGCTGAAATGCAAGAGTTGATGTTTTACTCAATGGCATACAAAAAAATGTAAGAGTGACATGTTTTCCTCATTTAAAAAATGTCAAATTTCTAATGCCAATATTGGTTATGTGGACTATTAAAATTTCTGATAAATGTTTCTGAAAAACTAATTATCTCCAACAAGTTTGTGCATGTATTACTAAGTGATATGATCCTTAAATGTATGTGATTCAATCACCTGTTGCAAAATCATGCTATAATCTACTGTGGTCTCAGTAGAGACCACACAGAGATTAATGATATGACATTTGAGAGTAAATTTAAATAACTAGATTTGTTACCATTCCAATTTTTAAAATTCATATTTTATAGTAAAGTTATGATTGTAGAAATATCTTCTGTAAAATATCTGCATCTAACTGGGAATGTGAATCCACTATAACATGTACTCCATATAGTTTCCCTACTCCTATCCCTATCTTTTTTAATTTTCAGAAGTTTAAAAGAAACAGCATAAACAACAGAATAAACTCATATACTATTACAATTCAGATTTAACTAATATTTTGTTTTATTTAATTGGAATCTTTATTTCTTTTTAATGAGATAGATATTTAGATACAAAACTGAAGTATCCTTTAACTACCATGTTTGGCCCCATTTCCCTTCTACTGCCTTTCTTTTTAGAGACAACCACTTTTGGGAATTGAGTGTGTATTCTTCCAATCCATTCTTCATAGTTTTACATAAAAATGTTCACCATAACCAATGCTTTAATACTAGTGTTGGCTAGTGTTGATTTAATTCAAATTCATACAGGTATAATTATAATATATTCACTTCATTTGTTTTCACTCTACATGATTTTCATATCTTTCTCTATTAATACATATAGATTTAATTTGTTAAACTTAACTACTAGAGAATATTATACAGTGTGACTGTATCACATTTTATTCATCCATTTCAAAAGTGACAGACATTTGTTTCCAATATTTTGCTAATATAACTCATGCTGCAATGAACATAAAGGTACAGGACTCCCTGGGTACATGTATCAGTTTCTTCACTATATGTGTGTATACTCAAGAGTGGGTATTCTGGAATCTGTTTTCGAAATTCTTTCCTACCCTGAGGTTTGAAAAAATTCTCCTATAAAATTCTTATATTACTAAGTTTTGCTCTTTGCATTCTAATCTTCACAACACTTTTGGATTTTTAAATAAATACTTTAATGTATAACAACAGCAAAGATCTAATATTTTTCCATATGAAGAGTCAATTACCCTGAGACCATTTTTTAAATCATCCAGATTTTCCTACCAACTTGTGATTACCACCTCTATCAATTGCTAATTCCCCATAAAGATATGCATATGTTTCTGGATATAATATTCTGTCACAATCTTTGTTTTCTATTACTGCATCAAGAGCAAATAATTTTGATGACTATACATGTAGCAAAACATGTAACAAAAAAATGACAATTTTGGGCTTCCCTGGTGGCACAGTGGTTGAGAGTCCGCCTGCCGAGGCAGGGGGCACGGGTTCGTGCCCCCGGTCTGGGGAGATCCCACATGCCGCGGAGCGGCTAGGCCCATGAGCCATGGCCGTTGAGCCTGCGCGTCCAGAGCCTGTGTTCTGCAACAGGAGAGGCCCACATACCGGAAAAAAAAAAAAAGACAATTTTGTCTCTTAATTTCACATCTTAATACCTCGCATATCTTTGTCTGAATGCATCAAGTAGGCCTTCCAGAACCATGTTGATTAGTGTCCATGACTGGATCCTTACTTTAATGAGAATGCTCCTAAAAGTACAGCAGGAACAATGTTTGTTGTGGGGGTCTTGGGGTGTAGGTTTTCATGATACTGTGATAGTTATTAAATTCTCAGTATATTACATTTTGAGCTGTTGCTGAAGGATTTTCCACATTCATGTGACTTTACTGTAAAATGAATTTTCTGATATACTGTTTAATACGAATTCTCTTGAAGGTGTTCCCAAATTCAAGGCATTCATAGAGTTTTAATGAGTATGAATTCTCTGGTGTCTAATATGATGTGACTTCTGGCTAAAAGCTTTTCCACATTCATTACACTGATAAGGTTTTTCTCCAGTGTGGATTCTCATATGCAGAGCAAGAGTTGAGAACTGAGAGAAGGCTTTCCCACATTCATTACAACCATAGGGCTTCTCACCTGTATGGCTTCTCATATGCACAGTAAGAGATGAGCTTTGACAGAAGGCTTTCCCGCATATTTTACATTCATAAGGCTTATCACCTGTATGAATTCTCACATGTACAATGAGAGATGTGATTCGAGAGAAGGCTTTTCCACATTTATTACATTCATAGGGTTTCTCTCCTGTATGAATATTGTGATGTTTAATGAGGTACTGCTTCTGCCTAAAGATTGTTCCACATTCATTACATTTATAGGGTTTCTCTCCAATATGAATTTTCTCATGCTCAGTGAGGTTTGATTTCCCACTGAAGGCTTTTCCACATTCCTTACATATATAAGGTTTCTCTCCTGTATGACTTCTCTGGTGTCTAATGAGGCTTGACTTCTGAATGAAAGCTTTCCCACACCCTTTACATTCATAAGGTTTCTCGCCAGTATGAATTCTTTGATGGATAATGAGGTTTTCCTTCTGGCTAAAGGCTTTTCCACACTCATTACATTTAAAGGGTTTCTTTCCACTATGGATATTCTGATGTTTAACGAGGTATTGCTTCTGGCTGAAGGCTCTTCCACATTGATTACATTCAAATGGTTTCTCTCCTGTATGAATTTTCTCATGCTCAGAGAGATATGATTTTCCATTGAAGGCTTTGCCACACTCCTTACATACATAGGGTTTGTTTCCAATATGATTTCTCTGGTGTTTAATAAGGCTTGGCATCTGAATAGAAGCTTTCCCACATTCATAAGTTTTCTCTCCAGTATGATGTTTTTGATGAGTAAGCAAGTTTCCCTTCTGGCTGAAGGCTTTTCCACATTTATTACATTTATATGGTTTCTTTCCTGTATGACTTCTCAAATGTAGAGTAAGGGATGAGACTCGAGAGAATTCTTTACCACATTCATTACATTCATGTGATTTCTCTCCAGTATGCATTTTCTTATGCTCTATGAGGTTTTGCTTCAGGTTAAATGTTTTTCCACAGTCATTACATTCATAAGGTTTCTCTCCAGCATGAATTTGATCATGCTGAAGGAGATCTGATTCAGGCTGAAGGCTTTCCAACATTCTTATCATGCACAGATACCTTCTCCAACAAGAATTCCTTAGTATCTCTTGACATGTGACATGGATGAAAGCTTTTCCACATTCAGTAAATTCATATGGTTTCTCTCCAATAGTAATTCTCAGCTATCTAACAAAGTTGAATATATGATGAAAAACTTTTCACATTGGTTATCCTGTGATTAGCTGATTACAAATTGGGATGAAATATAGCATCCTCATTATATTCTTAATGGTTCTTGCTTAGACAGCTTCTCTCATATTTAAGTGTAAATTAAATGTTCCAAACTCGTTTAAACTGAGTCCCATACACAGAGGAGTTGTCTTAAAGAATCAATGTCTGTGCTCAGAAGAAATACTTTTCTGCTACCTAGGTTTTCTGAGTTTTTCTTTAGCTGTGCTTTCACGGAGAAGGATGAGACTTAACCCACAAGTCTTTCCTGTTGTGTCTTTATTTACTTATAAATTTCCCAGGCCTTTTCTAAAAAGGAGTACAAAAAAATCATCATTGAAAAGAGTTAATAACTGTAAAATATTTAATGCCTGGCATGTAGTAAACATTCAATAAAGTAGCTATCATCATCATCAATATCACACTTGTAAATTTTCCCACTATTTTTAATAAAATTTCAAAAATATGCAATTTAAAAATAGACTTTATTTCAAACCTAACCTACCAGTATAAAAGAAAGCTCAAATGCAAATAACATCCATGGGTGCATGTAGCTTAAACTGCTTTTAAATGAAACAATGTATACTTTATAAATCAGTAAAGTAAGGGAAAACATAAAGAACAGGTGACAAACAGGACGAAAGACAAACACGTAACATTTGGAAAGCCTAGGATGAAGGGATAAAAAATAAAATGAATAGGAGTATTAATAAGGGCTATGTGGTTAAATAAGACATTTATTTCTACATTTTCCTGAAACTCCATTAAAATGACAATAGGGGATGAAGGGCATTACTCATAAAATCTAAAATGTTGAGGAGACAACAGTGAATGAAAGTATTAGGAAATTTTGAAAGGAAAGCAAATAAAGGACTGTAAATTAACAGCAGAACTGAGTGACTTAAATAAAATGCTAGCAGATGAGGATGCCACTTAGAAGCAAGGTAATCTGTGACACAGCTGTCAACAGAAAGGCACTATAACTGGAGACATTGCATGAGAGTGGAAGGTGGGGCTTATAAAATGAAAGGAGCAGCTGATACACCCAATTCTCCTAACTGGAAAGAAATAGGAATTTATTATCCAGACAAAGTACAACTGCGAAACTCCAAATTTAGTGATGACAGGGAAAGTAGATGAGAGTACCATACTGAAAGAAGTGGATGAGTAAAAGTTTATATATAGTATAGGCTCCCAACTTCTTTCTTCTGCTAGACTCTAAGAATGCTGGTAGTTGTTAGATAATGGAAGCGTTCTTGTTTGAAAAAATGAGAAGATCATGAGAACACCTACAGATACTGACATTTGGAGTCATATAAAAGAAAGACTTAAATATCTGACTGAATGCTGCACAGTGAAGCCCACCATTTTACAAGACCCACCCATGGACACAGAGATTACAATAATCTTTCTGGTACCTCAATGTATTAATGTAGAGTTAAAGATCACAAAAATTGGACAAAAGCCATAATGTGAAAGATCAAACAAATAGGAAAAAACAAGGCAAGGAACAGAAGAGCACATACATACAACATATAATTAGTATCACAGAAAGCTAAGAGATTATATAGCAATGAAATATTAACAGGATTCTATAAATAAGTGCTTTTGGAAATAAACAGTATGATGCTAACCTTAAAAATTCAATAGGTTGGGAAACAAAATACAGAATATCTCCCAGAATAAAAAAATTAAAAAAAAAAAAAAAAAAGGAAGGAAGGGAGAAAGGAATAAAGAAAGAGAGTAATGACTGGGAAATTAGTAGTTTAGTGGAGGAATCCAGGAGGTTCAAGAGAAAATATGAAGCACCAGAGAAAGGAGTTTCAGAGAAAATATGAAGAAAAATGAATGCAGGAAATTTTCTGAACCCCATCTTTCATATTAACATGTTGATAATGATTAAATTGATTACATTTAAAATAGGTAAAATAGCTGTATAAAATATGGGAATAAACACCAACAGACACAAGTCAAATGAGTTGAAAGTGGCTGTCTATGTGGAACAAAAACTGTGGGTGAGGAAGAATGGAGCAAGCATAGTTATAATCCTATTTGACTTTTAAAAGCCTCTATTTGTTATACTTACAGAGATCTTGAAAACTTGAGCCTTTTAACTTGACTCAGTCTATAATTGTATAATAACTATAGACAGTGCTCTTTTTATCTTCTTAAAACTGAGTTTCACATGGGCTAAACAGCAAAGTACACATATATTTAATGGGAAAGAAAATATGCCAGAAAATAGCCATTTTTACTTCCAAATCTGATTTTGATTTCTATTTTGATTATTGACACTATCGTTTCTTGATACAGAAACTGTCATTGCCATCAAATTCAATTTTCATTTATTTTTCTCCTTTCATTATGCCTGATATACTGGCACCCAAGCCCTTTTCTTGTCAAGAGCCCTTTCCTTGGCCTCTCTCTAAATCCTTTCTTTTATAACTGTTTTCCATCCACTCACTGCAAACCTTGGACATTATCCTGATCTATCCGTCTTAAAATTATATCCTCATTTTCTTATAAATCATTTCAAGAACTGATTAGTAATACACTGCCACTCATATTAGTGCTATAATTTCCATAACTAGAAAAAAATACCTCAACCTTCACTGCATACCATAAGCAAAAATTCACTCAAAATCAATTATAGACCTCAGCATAAGCATTAAAACTATTAATAAAAAAACTATTAATATAAAAGAAAAAGTGGTAGACTTCATCAAAATTTAAAACTAATTAATGCCCTTCAAAAAACACTTCAAAAAAGGACTTCCCTGGTGGCACACTGGTTAAGAATCCACTTCCCAATGCAGGGGACACGGGTTCAAGCCCTAGTCCAGGAAGCTCCCACATGCCATGGAGCAACTAAGCCCATGCACCACAACTACTGAGCCTGCGTGCCACAACTACTGAAGTCTGCGCACCTAGAGCCTGTGCTCTGCAATGAGAAGCTACCGCATTGAGAAGCCTGCACACTGTGATGAAGAGTAGCCCCTGCTCGATGCAACTAAAGAAAGCCTGCATACAGCAAGGAAGACCCAACGCAGCCAAAAAAAATTTAATTAATTAATTAAAGAAAAGAAAAAAAAAACACAGTTAAGAAAACAAAAAGGAAAGCCATAGACTGGGAGAAACTAATAAAGGGCTTGTATCCAGAATATATAGAACTCTTGAAACACAATAATAAAAAGATAAACAATTTAGTTTTTTAAATGGGAGAAAGACTAGGGTAGACATTTCACAAAATAAAACATTTGTGCTCAAGAATGCAGACCAGAAGGATAGAAAACTGGCCTTTCTGCCAATAAGCTTCAATGTATGTCTCAGACATCAAAGCAAAAAATACAAATCTAACAGAGTATATACTTAAGATCCAAGTTGCTCTGGAAGCTACAATATAAGATGGAGATACAGAGACTAGAGAGATTGGGCTAGAAGTGAGAGACAGTTTAATAAAAATGAAGTTCAAAGTTGAACAGTGGATAGGATTTTGATAGATGGATCACTGCACAATCAACGGCAAAGATGCAAAGAATTTCATACTATGAAGGGGGAGGTGAGAACAGTGCAACTGTTACTATTTAAAGCTAGAATAACAATCATAATCACCAACTGTGCAGTGAAGGGAAGAGGGAGACTGAAAATATTTATTGTAAAATGTATAAAATATACATCACTCCTGGTAACAGACAGTAAATAGATATTATCTCAAATCAAAGATGAAGACTAAGAAAATTATGAATATAAAGGCAACCATAAGAAAAAAATATAAACTTTCCAAATTTTCGGGAAAAAAGACATATATTCAAAACAAAGTAAGATCCTATAGCAAAAGATACAAAAGATAAAAGATGAGGCAGAATTTAAAACAGTTGGGAATTCCCTGGAGGTCCAGTGGTTAGGACTCCGTGCTTTCACTGCCAAGGGCATGGGTTCAATCCCTGGTCAGGGAACTAAGATCCCACAAGCTGTGCCGCATGACCCAAAAAAAAAAAAAAAAAAAACATTAAAACAGTATATAAAATAAAATCAGAGAATCAATACCAACCATATCGTTCCTGTCAATAAGTGCAACTAGAATAAAAATAACTATTAAAAGAGCTATGATAGGATCATACAGAAAATTCTCAGGCCTCAAACCAGACCTCCAGAATCAAAAAACCTGTGGGTAGGGCCCAGCAATCTGTATTTCACAAGCCCTTCAGGTGATTTTGATTCATGCTAAAGTTTAACAACTGATATAGCAAAACCCCCCTAAACTATATATATATATATACAAGATATGCATGTAAAACAATATATAAGAAATGGTAAAAATAAAGACTAAAGATAAAATAAAGAAGATAATCATGAATATATAAAATACAGAAATCCAAGATACAAAAACACATTAGCAACTGAGAAGACTACCTCTCAACCTAGGAGATCAAATCCATGAAATATGCAAACATATAAAAAATGAGAACATGAAATAAAAATATGCACTTATTTATAATATAGCGCTAACTAGTTTATTCTGCATCTTGAAAATAGATAGTGAACCATCTTTTAAAATGCTCAGAGAACATTCTCAAAATCAGTCCACATAGTAGGCCTATAAAATCTCAAATATTCCACAAAGTAGAAAAGGACAGATAAAATTCTGACTAAAAAAAAAAAGTCATAAATTAGAAAAATGAAAATCTTTCACGTGTAAATTCCAAAATCTACTGGCTTGAACAAACTCTTTGGTCAAAGAGGAAATTAAAATAAATTGTGTAATGTTCAGAATGTTATTCAGAACACATTGTATATCAGAACCCAGAACCCATAGAACACATTTGAAAATAATGCGTGGAGAAGTTTTAGCATAAATGTTTACATTATTTTTAAAAGAAATAATCATAATAAACATTCCAACTAAGGAATTACAATAAGGAAAAGTAAATAAAAGAAAAACAGAAAAATTAGTAAAGATAAGAAAAGAAATTAATTATTACAAACAAAAATAGAAGTAATAATAGATTCATGAGTTGATTCCTAGGGAAAAACTAAAAGGGAATAAAAGCAAAATTACAAAAATAAAAAATGATTATTTGGGAATAAGGATTGTAGAGATTATTTTGCTCAACCCTATGCAAATAAATTTGAAAACCTAGCAAATATAACCTCTGAAAACTGAGACCAGAAAAGACAGAAAATCTAAACAGAAAAATAAACATAGGAAAAAAAGAGATAATCATTCAGACATTTTATCACCCCAAAGTCCCAGGTATACATGGCTTAAGATGTGAATTTTACTAAACTTTTAATAAAGTACAGTAATACTATATATTTAAAATTTTCCAATTCTTAAATTCATTAAATTTGCAAAAGCATGATGCTCAACAGATCAGGACTAAGTTCTGTATTACTAATAAGCCAAAAGAAAACACAGAAATTATATCTCCTTGGTAATTAAAGCCCCTTGTATTTTTACAGGGATTATATCAACATCCTTCACACATACTTATCAAAACTGAATTTTTTAATACATCTTTAATGGAGTATAATTGCTTCACAATGCTGTTACTTTCTGTTGCACAACAAAGTGAATCAGCCATATGCATACATATATCCCCCAATCCCCTCCCTCATGAGCCTCCCTCCCCCCTCCCAAAACTGAATTTTTTATACTGTGAAATGACAGTCCTGAACTGAACTAGGCAACATTGTCTGAATACCAGGCAAAATGGTCCTTTCAACAGCATTTATCTTGTGGTTTAAAAAGTATTTTCAAAGTATAAATCAAAATGCTCTAATGCCAAGCAAACTAACTGTGCTATAATGCCTGAGTTGAGTAGTTGCAACAGAGATCCTATGGCTTACAAAGCCTAAAAAACTTACTACCTGGCCCTTTACAAAATAATTTATTGACCCCCCCCCCCCAAACACACACACCCTAGAGTGGTGATTCCTCTCTCCTCTACCAGGCTGGAACAAGGATGCATTGCTGATCCAGCTTCACAACTGGATCCAGCTGATCCACAACTAAATGATAAAGAGACACCTGGAAGAAATCTGGATCTTAAAGTACCACAAAGACCAAAGCTACCACGCAAATTTTGACTACTCAACACATAACTGATATGTGACCAAGAAATGAATTCCTACATTCCTTAAACCAGCACATTTTGGGGTTTATTATAGTCACTTAGCTTTACCATGATTGATAACACTTTTTAGTCCAGTTTCATTGCTTTACATATCACGTATCTGCAGATGCCAACTCAACTCAGGCATTATAGTTTGAAAGTAGTCTCAGACCCTAAGAAAATGAATGAACTTTTTACAAAAACACATAGCAGGGTATAGTTGCCAACCTCTGCTCTTAACAGGTCACCATTTAAACAGAATACATTGAGTTTGCTTAACATTTGAGCATTTTGATATATGTTACAACTCTTCTCAACATAGCAATCACAGTAATCTTGTCACAGTCAAATCATGTCACTGCTCTGCCTGAAAGTCTCCTTGTATACTCATAAAACATTTAGAAGCATACAATGTTAATAATTGCTGCTTCCAGGGAGCAGAAATGGAGAACTGAGAGCCAGGAATAAGGAGACATATCTATTCTTTTAATTTCTATCATGTATATGTATTAGAGTTTAAAAATAATAGTACTATTTCTCTTTAAAGTAACAGGGAATTAAACTAGTAGGAAGTCAGCACTCATTTCCAAGCCTGCATTATTGTTAAAAAGCAGGAGGTGGAGAAGAGTTATACTATGATATCTGGAGGTAAGAAGACAATAAGGAATAAGGATAAAGGGGTAAAATTCAACTCTGAGGTATATAACGATAGAAGGAGGGAGAAATGATAGTTAAATTTTAAAGAAAAGAATCTACGTGCTAGTTTTTGAAAGATTACAGATCTATAATCCTTGGCAAGAAGGACTGAATGAGGAGTCTAGGCATATAGGAGTCTATAAAGGCATAAAGGAGTCTAGGCATATAGGGAGAAGTAAAAAATGGAGAATGTTAGTGAGAGGGAGAAGCACGAAATTTAGGCTGTAGAAGTCATAAAATTGAGACTGCAAATGAGGTAGAGAGGCTGGCGTCCGGAATAGAGGTTAGAGAGGCACCCAGTCCTCCAGAATCTGAGAAAAGAGCACCAATCCAGGAAGAACAGGTGGAAATGTTACCTAGGTATCTAAAGAATTCCTAGCAATTTTCACTCCAAAGGATGGGGGCTGATAAGAAAATCTCCTCAAAAAAAGTTTCAGGGAATTCCCTGGTGGCGCAGTGGCTGAGAGTATGCCTGCTGATGTAGGGGACACGAGTTCGTGCCCCGGTTCGGGAAGATCCCACATGCCGCGGAGCGGCTGGGCCCATGAGCCATGGCCGCTGAGCCTGCGCGTCCGGAGCCTGTGCTCCGCAACGGGGGAGGCCACAACAGTGAGAGGCCCGCGTACCGCAAAGAAAAAAAAAAAAGTTTCAGATGTTGTAAACTCACTAAATAACTGTAATGAGCTTTTATTCCATTCATACCTGCTGGGTTCTTCCTAACTCACCTGGAGAACACCTCCTTTACATTTCTTCCTCAATCATCCATTGCTCTTCTTGTTTGAACTGGTGACTTTAAAATTCGAAATACTAACATAGGACTTGGATGTTACTGCTGAAGGTCAAAGCAGCATCCCAGAATTCAGGCTGAGCCCTTAGACCCTCAAAGGAGTTGAAGGATAAGGAAAGTTCAGCTCCTGGGGATACAAAAGGAAGCTGGCTTGTGAAAAAGAATAAAGTAACGCTGACCCTTTGGCTTAAAAACTGGAGCACATACATACATGTGAGCACATGGAAAAAAAAGTATTTGTAATTTGCATCTCAGGCCAAACTCATTAAGCCATTTAAAGGCTCCATACATTTCAAAAAATGGGAAACAGAAGCTATCGTATTTTCAGAATTCAGGTTATACAGAGAAACTACAAGACTGAGTTGCTAGAGTTCTTTCTCTAGAATCACAACCTGTACGGGTACCTTTGAGCAGGTGTCACTTGTAGCCTTGCTCCTGATTGAACAGTCACAGTCACACTTACGAGTATCATAATGACACTTTTCTCATAACTGTGAAGTCACCAACCTTGAGTGATATGGATAAAATATAAAGGGAATGACTCTGAAATAATTCATGAATCAGAGCTCTTAAAATTTTTAGAAGCCTAATATTTTACCTAGGTTATGTTACTCTAGGAGAAATTAAATATTTTAAGCGTCCTATAATTATATGGTCATTCAATTCATTGGTTCAGCAAACATATATATATATATATTTCTCACTTATTATATGTATTGAAAAGACCATGGTCTCCAATTTGTAATGGGGTATGACAGCTAAAAGGATCATCTTCCTCACAAGCTTGATCCAATGTAGTATGCTTAGAATCTGCCTGGACAGTGCTATTAATTGATGAAAACAGGTAATACAGAAGTGGGAAAGGATGGAGGCAAACTGCAGGAGGAAAGACATAAGTATGACATTCTGGACATAAAGAGTTTGAAGTTCCTATGCAACCTCCAGATAGTGCTGTCTATTAGGCAGTTGGATATATGCATGAGGAGCTCAGGACAAGCCTAAAAGAGGAATGATCATTTGTTAGTCCTGTGTCAGGTGAAGCCATAGCAGTGGAATTTTGTTGCTCATAGAGTTCTTAGAGGTGAAAAAAAATGATCGAAGTCAGAAACTTAAGAACACTAATATTTAAGGGAAAAACAGAAACGTTAAGTCACTAATGGAGGGTTTTTCTTTTTTTTTTTTTCTTGGGGGGGTTGTTGCTCCTTGGTTTTGACCGGAATTATAAAAATGAGAGAAGTATTATGGAAATCAAGGAAACGTTCAAGAATGAGGCAGTGATAAACACCTGAAAAGGAATGGAGTGAACACAGAAATCTAATTCCTCCATCCCAATTAAAAACGGAAGTGTACAAAACATGCAAGCAAAAATGTGATTCTTATCCGTGCCCTAGCTGCTGCATCCCCTCACAGCTATTTTTGTTTTCTGTGTAACTACAAATATACATTTCTATCCCCACTATACACCAAATATACACTTTACTTTCTTCATGTAACAAAATACATTGCAGACTTTTAAAATCTATCTAACATATTGTATATATTTCCATTTGCTCAAGTCTTCTTTTGGGTCTTTCATTAACATTTAAAAATAATCTTCATAAAGGTCTTATACATTTACTGTTTATCCCTAGGTGTTTTATCTGACTTGTTGCTATTGTAAATAAAGTAGTCTTCTTTATAACTATTACTGATTATTTTCTGTACGTATCAAAGCTATTATTTCTACACATGAATTTTTGTACTGTGGTACTTTTCTTTTTCGTTTTATTGAAAAATATGTTAAGTGTGATAAAATACTGGAAGAAATTCTCTTTGTAGATAAAAGAAAAATTTGTTTCTTTACATTTATAAAGGCCATTTCGTTTGGGGAAAACCTGGTCAAATTAGGAGTCAGACTGCCATGCTCACTGACAAACCAGGGAGTCTTAAATCCGTTACTTGATTTCTGCACCAAAGACAGGACAACTTGCTTCCCAATTCCGTCTGTGCTGTGTGCACTAGTGGAAACTACCTCTTAGAGCTATTCCTTAGTCCAGAACTTCTCAAAGCAGCCTTACCAAAATTCCTTCAAAGAATTAAGAAAATTCAATACCTACAGGGAGTCTAGACAACCAATAACAAGTTTCCCGGAAATCTTTCCTCTTTAAAAAGAAACAAAAAAACGAATGCTGGTTTTGTTTTCTACTCTACAATGAGTCTGCTTTTAGCCTTCTCCCTTTCTCATCTTTCACAGATACGGATGCTCCAGAGAGATGCATCCTTATCATTATTTTAGAAACTAGAAAAGTGAGGTTTACATGGTACTACCCCACTAAGTTCACAATGCCACCCAAACTCACAAACCTGGAACCATACAGGTTGCAACTCTATAACCCTCTCACACTCCCTCACAACCTTTGTCACCCCCCGGAGAACCCGCCCGTTTCCTTCTGTACCCCTGCCCCCATCCACAGAAGCTTTGAACACTGCACGTCACAGGAGGCGATTCCTCCCCTTCAGTTTCCCCAGCCCGGTAGTAGGCTCCACAAAACCTCCCTTACAGCCTCCCCGACCGGATTCTAAACCCAGAAACCCAGGTCCCGCAACAAGATCTGCGCTTCGCAGAGCCAAAATCAAACTCACCAGCAGACAAAGACGACGAAGGCGAGCCGGAAAGCCTGCGCCTGCGCTTGCGCCTGCGCACTCCAGGCTGGTGAGCATTCCCAGAGGTCTCCTGGGTTCCACCAAGCCTGGGCTCAGTACCGGACAGAAGCAGTTGATGTCGGCCGGTTGTCCATTTTTTTTTTGACTGTGGACTACATTTCCCAGAAGTTCCAGTGGTTCGAGTCGGCTTTTCGAGTCAGCTTTCGTGCTTTGTCAGCTCCACCATAGTTTGTGGGACTGTCTTCCTGGTTGGGGGAGTAGTGTACGTAGGCCGAGCCTCAGGACTTAGGTAACACTCTACCTTTGCTAACTACATCTGGAAGAGGGCAGTGATGTGCCTTGGGTTATAATAAGCCCAGTTGAAGCACGCCAGGGTGACTCCAACTAGGAGCCACGGTGCAAGGCTACGCCAGGAGCGCCAGAAGACTCCAGGGCGCGATTCGAGGCTGGGGTGGAGTAGGGGTGAGGCAGGGAGTGATTGTGGGGATTTCTTTGGCAGGGCTCAAGCCCAGCGCCATCTTGTCCCTCGCGAGTGCGGCTCTGAACTACATTTCCCAGAGGCCGCCGCGTTGTGCGGCCGGCGGCTCTGAGCAGAGCTGTACGCGAGCCGGGTGTTAGTCTCTGAACTGTTGGCAGACGCCGCGCACGGCAGATTGGAGGTGAAACGTCCAGAGCTCGGGGCGGGGTGGAGACTGAGTATTAAGTCTGTTCAGGCGGAACGGACGGGGTTGGGGAGGGGAGTGTCGGTTACGAAATTGTGTGTGGCTATGTGTCCCAGTGATGTGTGTGTTATTCTGACTGTGTGTAATACCGTGTGTGTGTAGCTTTCTGTGGATGAATCTCCGTGGTATGATTGTTAATATGTGACCGTGTGTAATACTGTGTGCTGGTGTGGGCTACCTGTGACTGTGTGTCCCTGTGGTGGGTGTGTGGATTGTTTCTGTGGGATCGTGTATTCCTCTTCTGTGCAGGCATAGGGAGCTTTGTTATTGTGCCTCTGTGACTGCGCCCTAGTGGGGATTGTGACTGTGTAGCACTGTGTGCGGAAGGAAGGGGGAGTCTGAGACTGAGGCTGTTAACTTTGTGTCTACTGGTGGGTGTGTGACTATGCAGCACTGGATGTGTGAATTTGGGGAGACTGTGTCAGGTACTGTGTCACATGTAGTCATGTATGAGATACAAGATGGCTCTGCCCCTGTAAAAATCCTGATTACTCTCTATGACGTTGAGGTTGAGATGGAAGACCGGGTCTCCTCTGATAGCCTTCCCCTGGTCAGGGAGGGACAAGTGAGCAAGGTGACCTTGTCATCTGGACCTCAAGAAAGGTTTGTTGTTTCCTTGCCCCATCTCTGTTACCGGGCTCAATGGGTCTGTCCCTTGTGGTGCATAGCCAGTGCACACACCAAGTACTTTTGAGTAAAGCAGAAGCATTTATTACTTGTGAGAAGTAAGGAGACAGAGAGCTAGCTCTCAAAGTACTGTCTCTCCAAAGCTGGACGGGGAAGTTTTAAACCTGGGGGGCATGCATAGTCCTGAAAGGGCAGGCATGGTAAAGAGATAGAGGTTACTCTAGGTTGCCAAAAACTGCAAGCAAGCAGGTGTTTTGGTTGTTTATTTGCACTCTAACCTTTTTGAAACATCTGGCGTTTGGAACTTTCTGCAATTTAACAGTTTCTGCAAAACAAAGCACACTTTGGTGTGCTTTAACCCCATCCTTTCCCTACTGCTGCTTAGCTAACATATCCTTCTGCAAGAGAGATCTCCAAGGAGGAGAAAATAATGGTTGTGACATCTAAAAGTCGTACATAAGGTGGCTTGGTATTTTCTCTTTGTTTGTAAAATGCTTTATTTTTTCAGGAGGTGATTTTTTTTCTTTCTTGGCTAACTCCTAACAAAGACCCATGAAGTAAACCGGAACCTACTGTTTCTCTTTGGAAATATCTTCCTTGCATTTGTAATTTTAAAAATTAATATGTATGCTGAGTATTCTGATTTTACATATGTACATATATGGAACCGTGTAGATACATATATGTACACACGTATATATACACACATGTGTATACATATATATTTTTTAAATACTTTCATTTAAATGACGTTGTAACTTCCCACATAATTGAAAGTTATTTGAGAATATTTTAAATATTAGACAGTGTTGTTTTTTCATGTGTGACTAACCCAATATCCATTCTCTCCTTTATTGCTATAAAAATCCGGATTTTTGTTTGAAGGGGCAGTGTGCTCAGCTTAACAAAAAACAAATAGGAAGGGAATTCCCTGGTGGTCCAGTGGTTAGGACTCCCACGCTTCCACTGCAGGGGGCATGGGTTCGATCCCTGGTCAGGGAACTAAGATCCTGCAAGCTGCACAGCATGGCCAAAAACAAACAAACAAAAAACATGTTTTAGTTTCCCTTATAGTTGTAAACAAAAGCTGTTAGATTGGATTTCTTAGTTCTTTAAAGGGGTGGGGATGCGGCAGGCTCAGTGGGTATGTATTCTTTTGGCCTTCCTCCTTTCTCCTTCCTGCCTGGAAAGTGGATATAGAGCTGCATATGGAGCAGCCATCTTATAACCATGTACTTAATAGGAAAGGAAGCATAAGAAAATTTACGGTATTATATTAAATGAAAATAGGATTTTAAATGGTATATATTGTATGAAAGTTTTTGGTAAACAAAACAAAATTTACCTATAGGTGCATGAAATGTATAGTAGCATTTTAATTCTTTTCATTGTAATGTGGACTGAAATAAAAACACACGTGAGAACTGTGAGTTTCAGTTTTATTTGGGGACTTACTGAGCACTATACCTTGGGAGACAACCTCTCAGATAGCTCTGAGAAATTACTCTGAAGAGGTGAAGGGGTACACGCAGTTAAGGATACATCTCGGTAGAAGGTTACTGCTAGTCATGAGGAACAAATATCTCAAGTAATGATTTTAGTGCTTTTCTAAGTTTGGGAAGATGCAAGAATCCAAGTTCATTTAAAAATTCTCCTGAAATAATTCTAAATATCTAAAGGCCCATTTTTGCAGAGCACAGAGTGACTCATCCTGAATTCCTTTCAGGATGTAAGTCAGTGAGTATAGTGGCTAAAGGCTTGATTCTTGTAGAACTGGATGGTGTACAACACTTTTTGTTTTACAGTTTCCCCCTTTTGGTCATAAGTTCAACCAAGGTTTGGGAGACATTTTGTGACCAATTTGTCCCATGGTGCTAGGAAGGCTCATTCCTAGGTATGGCGAGGATTTCATTGATGGGCCACTCAGTGTGCTGTTACTGGACTAGGCATTGTTAATGGTAGTCATAAAAGTTTCTGTACCATCTGTCTTACTAATCTGTTATGGTCTAGGAAATGATTCCCTCTTGCTGCTTCTTCCCATATCTAGGGTTACACTACTACAATCATTTTGATCTTATATGTATATTTAAAACTATATTTAGTTAATTGTTTCAGGTTGCTTAGTCATCATTATCTTTATTGGAGGCTCAGTCACATTTGGTAATGCAAAAAACAATAATTTTATAAAATAGGCAGAGTATAAGTAATACAGCTAGTAACATTGATAAGATCATAAGTAAGAATTTAAACCAAGAGCTTCCATTAGGTGTGGCCCAGTATATCCCCAGTCATCTGACCCAGTCTATTCCTTACCAATCGCTATCTTTAAAGGTAATGATATATAAGCATTGTTCATAAGGCACTCAGCCCAATTTCCTAGTGTTATTAGGATGGTTACCTTTAGTATGATTTAATTGTTCCCAGCAAACAAATTGTTCCCTTAAACTTAAACAACCATAGCCTGGTATTAGCCATATAAATCCATCCCATGACTGAGGGAGGGTCCCTCCTAATAATCAGGAGTATATATTCTTTCACTGAAATTAGCTCATTTCTCTGAGCTTGAGTAACTTTAAAATTCATATTTATGTCCAGGGTCAGAGCAAGTATGATTGGTTGGCCAACTGAGGGGGTCCCATCTAGTAATATCAATAGTGGCCCAAAGAGAACTATAACTTCTTTCTTCTATAATAAATTTCCTAAGGACTATCCAATCATTGTCTTGGAGAGGAGAAATCCACCAAGGTAACCCAAAAGTACTGGACATAGGTAAGTGACCATAAGCCCAACAATTAGATTAAGTTTTAAACTCTGTGTAGAATTTTGCCTGTAATAGAAAACATTTGATTCATATGCAGAAGTCCAAGAGATCACTATAAATAATCATACAAGTCAGGTCTAGCATCTTGGGATAGCTATTTCTGATGTTGTCTTCTTGTCCTGGTGTGTCATTTCCTCTCTGTTTGAGCATTGCTTTAAGGTGAGTTTGAGGTCAGCAGTCCTCTATATAGACCAGTACAGTGTAGGGGCCCATTTTAAGTGGGAAATATGATTCTAAGAGTGAATTTCTTCACTTTTGCTGCACATCAACTAGTTTAAGGGTCCTTTCATCTAGGTTGGAGACAGTCCTTTAAATCAGGGGTCCCCAACCCCTGGGCTGCGGACCTGTACTGGTCCGTGGCCTGTTAGGAACTGGGCCGCACAGCAGGAGGTGAGCGGCTGGCAGGTGAGTGAAGCTTCATCTGCTGCTCCCCATTGCTCCCCACTTCTCTCATTACTGCCTGAACCATCCCCCTCCCCCTTCCCACCCCATCCGTGGAAAAACTGTCTTCCACAAAACCAGTCCCTGGTGCCAAAAGTGTTAGGGACTGCTGCTTTAAATGATGCTTCTTCATATGTATATAATCTCCTGGTTATAGGTCACAGGGCATCTGATCTTCATCTAAAGATAGACTACTGTGATAAGCTTCAGAAACAAACCTAGAATGTCTTTTAATAATTCAATTAAACTTTTGTAATAACACAACGTAGTAACAAGGAGTCATCCAGGAAGTGAGTCTTAGGTAGTAAACACAAACCCTCAGAAGCAATTAACAACACTAGAACTTAACATACATAAAGTAATATCACTAAACCATAATATTTCTCTCTAAAATTATGCTGATTTCTACCAAAGATAGTCAAATTAAGACTAATTGTTTGCAAAATAAGTTTGGTTTCAATAA